ATCAGGCAGGGGAATAGAAAACACCATATACTAGAGATTTAGGGTATATTTTAATCTGTTAGAAGAAACTATCTCAAAATTTTAAAGAGAGAACAACTTATATATATAAGCGAAAAATATGGGCAACTACTATGAAGGGATAGAATATGACTCTTCCAGAAAGTGGTCGCTTTTCTGTTCAGAGAGTTGTTGCTATTCCTTTCTTCGATCTCCTGTTGAGTTTGTAGGTGTTCAGAATGGTTTGATCCCTCTCCAGCTGAATTCCTGAGAGGAGACGAAATCCAGGTCCTCTACTCCTCCGCCATCTTGCTCCGCGCATGCAGTTTTATTTATAATCTCATGAGGAGCAATAGGCCAGTTATGCTGCAGCCTGCCTGTGTGTATTCATTCCCACAGGGGTTACTGCTCTTCTCTTCTCACAGAGGAAGCAACCTCCTGGCAGATTTCAGGGTGGAAGAGGCAGAGCACCTTAACTCACTCTGAAAAGTAAACTAGGTATGGCTCTAGTGTCCTCACGCAATAACGTTTGATGATATGCACATTAGCTAAAAACATAGGTTCTGTGTGCAAGTCCCATTTTGTTACTTTGCTAACTTTGTTGCTTAGGGCAAGTTACTTAACTTTCTGTACCTCTGTTTTCTATCTCTATGATGGGAATAATAATGATCCTTACTTCATGGTGTTGCTGTGATGGTTAAATGGGATAATATATGGAAAGTCCCAAGAAGGTGTCTGGAATGTAGTATATGTTTAGTGAAATGGAAATCTTTCCTCTGTGGATGATCAGTGACTCACTGGGGAAAAAAAAAACCTCAGGGATCATATAATGGTAAATTAATGAATTCTAAAAAAATTAATGAATTTCAATTATTGATTTTATAGATGAGGAAATATCCACTCACTCAATTTGAGACTGATGACTATGACTACTTACATTTAAAAATCTGACCTCATAATATAAATGGAATGGAATCTCAGACTTAGAACGCCAATGAATTGCTCATCCAAATAACCCTCCCATGCATATATCCCCCTAACTCCTTCCCAGGTGCTTAGCTGGTCCCTTGCTCTAATGGTGAAGGGAGTTTAATTTTGCTCCATTGGTCTCTGGGTCTCTCTCATATGTGATGGTCTGTCCCACAACAGGTGCTTTGCACAGTATGTTGGGACATGGGAAGACTGCCTCTTGTGATGGTTTTTAGTATTAGCAGAGCATCTAGTGTCCTTTTTTTTTTTTCAATAACTTAAAGAAATCTAATTTTATTTTATTATGTTATGTTAATCACCATACATTGCATCATTAGTTTTTGATGTAGTGTTCCATGATTCATTGTTTGCGTATAATACCCAGTGCTCCATGCAGTACGTGCCCTCCTTAATACCCATCACCAGGCTAACCCATCCGCCCACCTCCCTCCCCTCTGGAACCCTCAGTTTGTTTCTCAGAGTCCATAGTCTCTCATGGTTCATCTCCCCCTCCGATCTAGTGTCTTTTGACACAGCTTTTCAAGTCTTACTGGTGCTGGTCACAGCCAACAGAATTGAGTGAGCTGACAGTGATGTGCTCTTGTATTCTTGGATCAGCTGCTTCATAAAAGAGCAACACAGATCCAGTGTTGACATTAGGAAGTTGGAGTCAGAAAACTTAGATCTAGAGAAGACCTGGGAAAGGATCCAGACATTAGAAATGATCCAGACAGGTTAAGAGATTTGACCACAGGGACTGAGCTGGTTGATGTGAGCATACAGAAGGGTTCTTTCCACTGCCTCTCTCTGGTTCTTCAGAATAATAATTAGAAACATGGCCTCTAGAGACAGGCTACCTTGATTCAAATCTCAGTTCTACCCTTTATTGGGAGTATAATCTTCAGCTAGTTGTAGACTTTTCTTTTTCTCGATTTTCTCACTTGGAAAATGAGAGCAATAATGGGTGTTTCATGTGGATTAAATGAGATAATATGTGTAAGGCACTTAGGACAGTTCCTGGCACATAAACAAACAAACAAATAAGTCATTATTATTATTACTAATCTTCTAAACAAACTCAGGAATATCAACTCTTAAATAAGACAGAGAATAGATGTTTTGACCAGGCTGGTATTTAAAGTATTTTCTCTCACTTAAGAAGTGTTTTTATAATTTTTTCTTAGCTTCTGATTCAGATGTGATCTTCAGGACCCATCTGTGAATTAATAGCCATACTCTTCCCAAGAATTACTGTATGAGTTTTGGATGGAAGGAACAAATTTCTAAAAAATAATTTCCCATTGGGGCTTCAGGGTGGCTCAGTCAGTTAAGTGCCTGACTCTTGATTTTGGCTCAGGTTGTGATCTCAGGGTCGTGAGATAGAGCCCTCTGTCTGGCTCCATGCTGGGTGTGGAACGTGCTTAAGATTCTCTCTCTCTCTCTCCCCCTCTCTCCCAACCCCCTCCCAACTCTCTCTCTCTGTCTGAAAAAAAAACCAAAAAACATTATTTATAATTTCCAGTTTACTTTCAGCAAATATTTACAGAGTAGCCTGCCGTATGCCTGGCATGGAGATAGGGCCTGAAGGGATGGGAAGGTGGGCGATCCGTTGTGCCCCTTACTCTCCTGAAGTGTACAGGTTAGGTGGAATGGTTGGGAATTAAATAGGTAAATCTGTCACAAGGCTGGAGGGAACACTGATAGGGCAGGGCTGACAGCTATTTTACAGCTCATGGAAGAAGCCCTGAACCTGATTTAAGGGGTCAGTGAAAAGCTTTCTAGAAGTGATGCCTATACTGAGTCCTGATGATGAGCTAGATTCTTGACTAGTCCAGACAGGGGTTGGGGGAAAATATTCCGGGCACAGGGAACCCTGGGTGAGTGTGTGTGGGTGGGGAGGGTGGGGGGTGCTCAGTCTTGGGAGAAAACACTGGATCTTCACCAGTTTCTTCAAGATTTAACAAGCATTTGTTAAGCACTTACTATGCAACAGGCATTGTTTTACATAATGGAGAGACATCAGGTACCAAAACAAATGATGTCTTTATTTTCATGGACGTCATGGGGGGAGAAGAGAGGAATAGAAGTGTTTTGAAGAAAATTGCTAAAGGTGGGACAATGAGGCCGAGTTTAGAATGAAGTGACAGTGGAGCTGACACCTCAGTGGTGAGAGGAGCTAGCCAGGAAAACACCAGGGGCAGGAGGGTTCCAGGCAGAAGAACAACAAAGACAAAAAACTCAAAGGGAAGAACCATCTTGGCTAGTTGGAGAAACTGAAAGGACCAGTGAGCTGATATGGGGAAAGTGGTACAAATAATTCAAAGGGTGTTTGGGTTGGGTTGTTGGTGCTGAGAAAGACATCAGAACATTATAATAAAAACTAGTTTTGTTTTGTATAAATTGCATACACTACTGTGGGTGTCTCTTCAAAACTAGGATACTATTGGAAGTTCTCAGTTGCAAGTATGTCTTCTCTGGAGTGGGGCTTGGCTCTTTGTGTTTTAATAAGAGATGAGGCTAAGAGCATATTTTCTGTCATCATTGTCAAATGTCCTGTTCCCAGTTATAAGCACATGTCAGCAACGCAACAAATCAGCAGGGCTGCCGTGCTCAACAAAAGGTCTTATTATGTCAACTAGGGGTGTCCTGATGGTTCCTCCTGGGTTCCGGCCATGTATTTCTACTTGCCCACATAAGCTTTATTTTCCTGTGTTATTTCTTTGGACTCAAATTTGTGTTTCAAAAAATGCTTTAAAACCTTTCTGTCTGGTTTGGGCCTGCTTTATCCAGACTAATCATTCATGTTCTTCCATGTTCTTCTATTTCTCTGGATTATTGATCTCTGAATTCTTGTGAGCCCCACATGAGACTCACGGCTCTTGTTTGCTCCCAGTTAACAGGTTTGGAGATGATGAAGAGCCATGCCCATCTTCTGACAGTGATGAAGAGGTGATCAAACAATTTGAGATTTCTGTGTCCCGGTCCCAGAGTTTCCATTCAGAAGCATCTGAAAAAGGAAAGCAGGTGGGATTGGAACAAAAATCAAAATTCAGCCACCTGCTCTCTACCCACGAGGAGGATAACACAGAAGTGTCTGCCTGTGAAGGTATTCTTTGCATGAAACACTTTCTTTATCTAGAACAGGGAAGGACAATGGTAAGAACACCTTTGAGTCAATCACTATACTTGTATCTAGGGTCCAGAGAGGAAAAGAAAATGGGGCAAGACCTAGAGGCTGGAACAGAGTAAAGGGGTTCTTTCAAACCTCGCAGAGGGGATGTCATGCAGGGAACTGGGAGAAGGAATGGATAAGAAGTGCCAAAACCTTGACCCCTGATTTGTGGGACTCCTTCCTTCCTTAGAGGTTATCATTTGGTATATTTTGAACACTAATGGTTAGAACTAGCATGGTATTTATTAAGCTTTATAAAATCTTAATCTCTTCTGATAAATATAAACATTTCACATAACTTGTTTGCTGACATTGAGATTCTGTGCCTTTTCTCTCATTTGGAGTCAGAGTCTATTTTCTAGTTATCTATATAGCCTCAGACAATTTTTGAAATCTTTCTTTTAGTAGTTCGTATTATTAAAGCCACAGGTATGTTTTATCTTTTAAATAAAAACATGTATTACAGTAATGTTGAATAACCTTTTCCAAACGGCACACACCCTGCACATCTGCCCTCATTCCCTGTAGTTTCTGTCGTCCCCCACCTCCCCGCCTCCATCCCCTGCCCCACAGGAGAATTGCTTGCTGAGCAAGAGCAGCGTCTTCTGCCATTCTCCAGCGTCTTCAGACTGAGCACCTTCCACAGTGGGGAGGGGAAATACTCTGAGGTAGAGTAAGCACAGCTTGTGGCTTGTTATGGTAGGTTGGCCTTGTGAAGAATCCTCCCTCCACACCACTCACACAAAATAACCTGGCAAAAGAACAGTAAAATATTTCTTAGTGCTTTCCCTAGTGAAGGTCAGGCATTTCTCTGACTCTTTTATGCCCAGAACCCTGAGTAGGCACAGGATATTGAAAGAGGGAAGGGTTTGTGAATCGTATTAGGTAGAAAGCTAGAAGAAATGTCACACCGCCTGCTTAAGTGACCTGGTCTAAATGACCTGCGCTCTCTAATCTTATCCTTCTTTCCTTTGGACACATGGTCAGTCAAACCAATGGGGGCGTAGTTGTAGGTCTTCCATACTTTGCAACACTTAGCAATAGAAAGAGAAAAAGGAGATTCCAAGATTGAGAGAAGATAACAGAGAAGAAATGTCTGGTTTGATGAGGTGGATGAGGCAGCCCGAAAAAGAATGAAGTAAAAATTTTAAAAAGGAAAATATACAGAAAGAACCTTATTTATTTGTCAGCAGAAATGTAATAATTTGCTGTCATGTAATTGTACTTATTGATATGGGCCAACATAACGTATTTTATTGCTGTTCCTGTTAGTGCCAGGTGAGTGACCACTGTATTGTATCGGTAGCTACGGACCTCTGTCATTCACTCACCCCTCTCCTGTTCTCTCTTTCGCTGGTGTTCCATCACAGCGCTCCTCCCTCTCCACTGAGAGGGCAAATGTTAGCTAATGAAAGTTAATAGCAGTTGATTCCCTAGGAGCAGCTCACTGCATTCTAAAGCTAATGGCCCCATTTCCCCAAAGCCCAAATGTCTAGTTTCTGATTTATACAAATGGCCCATGTTCCAAGAGTCCTGACAACCATTCTCACCCTCACCGCTTCTGGAATTAGCAATAATTTTATTCATAACTGGCGATTCTGAAAAACTTGACAGAGAGTGACAGGAAAGATCACATTTCTTTCTCTATTGGAGGGAGGAAAAGCACACTGCACTGGATAAATTACCTGTAGATTTTGAAGAAAATCAGCAGGATTTTCATAGGAGGGGATAACTGCATGTTAAATTTTAGGTTACCAAATGCCATGGAAATGTTAATGTAATTTTTATTGCATGATTTTTTGTTCTGTGTAATTTCTTTTTGTTCATCTTTAGATTTGTGAATTTGTTTTCAGCAGTTAAGAATAAGGAAGAGATTAAGCATGCACCCCAGAGAGGAGTTGTGGGTTTTTTGTTTTTTGGTTTTTTTTGCCTGTCCTCCAACTATTTAGCTTTTTTTCACTCTACCTTAAGTATGATTTTCTAAGATAAAATTTAATTGTAGACAATTCTTCCACTTTAAAAATGCTTTCAAAATGTTGGACCAGTGAAAGTAAAGGTCCAAATCCAAGTAAAATCTGAACCATGAATGAGTTATTGGTAGGTTGTCTCATGTTTCATCAAGTAGGACCCTTCATTCTAGATGGAGTGGGGAGGTTGTTAGAACCAAGCAAATGCTATCTTCGTATCCCTGGCAAGTTCTCTCTTGTCTCATTTACCGGACTTAGTGTAGCTGTGCATTAACTGTCATGAAGGGGTTTGTGCTAAGTGATCCGGATTAGAGGCTGCATAGCAGGTCTGTGGGTCTGAAAAGTGGGCTGCAGGATAATCGTCTGCTTATTGGGGCATTTATTTATTTGTTTGTTTATTTAATTGTTTTTGGGCAAAGCCTTATTTTTGCTTGTGAAATATGTAGTTCTTAGGATGTTTCAAAAAAGCTAGACATTACATTCCTGGTGTCATTTAAAACAGCTCAATTATCCCTGGAATCTGTGCTCAGTTTTGTTTGGGATGGTGTATCAATTAGGATTTTATATATATCAAGGTGACATTGGGGTGCCTGGCTGGCTCAGTTGGTAGAGCATGCAACTCTTGATCTCAGGGTCATGAGTTCAAGCCCCATGTTGGGGTAGAGTTTACTTAAATTTTTTTTTTTAAAAAAGGTGATATGAGAGTGGTATATATATCAAGAGATTTATTGCCAGGAATTGGCCTATGCTATTGCTGGAGCTGGCTAAGAAACAGAAATTTAGAGCTCTGAAATCCACAGGTGAAATTTCTTTGTGTCCAAGGATACCTCGGTTCTTCTCTTAAGGCTTTCAATGGACTAATTATGTAGATAATCTCCTTTACTTGAAGTCAACTGCTTAAGGGCTTTAGTCACATCTACAAAATACCTCCACAGTATCTCCTCAATTAGTGTTTGATTGATTAATTGAGGCTTATAGCTTGGCCAAGCTGACACATAAAACTGACCATTGTAGATGGTGGGCAAAAGTATTTGTATTGTGGATGGTGGTAGGAGGGAAGGGTTTGGGAGTGTAAAATAAAGTAACTGGATAATGGGGTTATACCATGTCAAAGTGGGATATGGATTAAAAAGTGCAAAATTTTCTGTTAAAATAAATATGGTGTGACATAATTATGGCCTATAATTTCTAAGAAGCTGGGATACATTTCTCTGACAACAGGCAGTTACATTTCTGTATGTGTTTAAGGTGACACAGTCTTCTTTAACTTATAGGATGGGAAGATTGCTTTATGTAATGGTGACTCCCCTTTCTTTTTCCTCTGCCTCATGACTTGTACCCCAGCTTTGCTTTTCTAATTCATTCCTTGCTTGTCTGTCAAGGAAAATGGTTTGTTACATTAATATAGTTCTTATGTTTTTCAGTTATGAATAGCTTTTCAAGGCTTAATGTAGCTTTTGAAAATTCCCTTATTACTGATCTAGGTATTATCACTGTAGGAGTTAAAGTCATGAGACAATTTTATGGGGGTAATTTCTTGGCAAAGTTAGATTTTGTGCTGAAATCCTGCTGGGTGCTGCACACGTTGATGGATGACCTACTGTTTAATAGGACATTTTAGTGTTCATGTATATGAGGAATGGATGTGCTAATTAGAGCCTTAGAAGACAATTCTGCTTTATGTTGTAGGGTTTTGCATATGGAATATCCCTTGCTCTGTCATTTTCTGTGGCCTTTTTAAAGTGTGTTTGCCAAATAACTGAGTGTGTGAGTGTAAAAATGTTATGGTGTCCTATGAAAGTGTTTCCAAGGGGCCTGAACTGGATTATTAAGAATAACAAGGCAGTTAGGGGAACTTCTCAGTGGATTGCCACGGTTTTGCGAAATCCCAAATCGGGAGTTTGAAGTTGTGCTCTGAGTACTAAGTCTGCCTAAGGATGTTTTTGTATAGTCTGCATAGGGTGATAATATATTTTTTAAGTTTGCCTGTTTACTGCAGGTGGGTCATAAACTGTCTGGTAAACCCCTGTCGCCACTACTCCATTTTGCCGCACACCTGGCTGCTTCAAATATTTGTTAACCTGCCTAGTCTTGCAAGTTATTGGAGAGTTCTGTGAAACCCACTGGTGGATAAAGACTAGAAAGCATAGGTATGTGGCTTAGCACCTCCAAGGAGATTATGTTCTCAATGAGGCTTTAAGACCGACAGTGCAAACAGTTGCTGCCATACGGTGTAAATAAGAGCTGAATTCATGATCTATACTTGGTCATTCCACTCACTCATCTTGTCTATATCTCTAATTTTCTCTTATACCGGGATGGTGGCTTCCGGAGGAGACAGGAGACCAAAGAGAGAATACATTCTTGGCTACTTTCTGGATGTGGGAAGAAAGTCAGGGCGAAAGCTATTGCTTAGGAAGACCCCGCCTGTTTTTCTTTACTGTCTGAGGGTAACCTAAACTTTAGAGCAGAGGAGGGAGAGGCATAGGTGAGGGAGCACTGACAGAGAAAGAAGAATAACACGAAGGTCAGAGAAGGACACTGAGTCCAAGAAGTCAGGGAAGATTCAGGTGTTGTTGGGCTTTGGATGGACAAGAAGGAGAGGGCAGTTTGAGGGAGAGGGGGTTTGAGGACCACAGTGAACAGAAATACACAACTAGTGTTTTCATGAGCCCATGGGGCCACAGGTGACGGCGAAGTGGGAGGCAGTAGAAAATGTGGTTTACTGGGTTGGATGAGGCCAGTTGGGGACAGACAAGCAAGCAAGGCTAATATTTATGGAAAACTAGTGACTGCTAGGAGGCCATTATTTCATGTGTCCACAATGATTCTCTAATGGTTTTTATAATCATTTTATAGATAAGGAAACAAAGGTTTGGGCAGTTCAAATTTTGTGTAAATTCTTAATGCAGAGTTAGGATTTAAATCCAGATCATCTGAATCCAAGTCCAGTGTTCCTTCCGTGGATCAAGTAGAGAACTTTTTACTTGAGAGAACCACTGAAGCCTTCCAAGGAGAGGGTAAGGTAGGAGCATGGAAGACAGAAAGAAGAATGGTAGAGTCAGGACACAATATGATCTCCATAGTAGATTGTTGCTCTTGCTTTCTAGATCTATCCCCAAGGTCTTGTGGCCATTAGTTCCAACAAAATGCTAGTATGTTTATTTTACCCTTTTAACATTAACACACATCCTTCATAGTCATATTATTAGAAAGTATTAAACCTTCTTATACCCCGTGTAATGAACTAATGGTCTGTTTGGTTATAAAGACCAAGTTTATCCACCATGTGGATGCAGTTATGTTTCTGCAGGTGTTATTTGATAGGCTTTGCTTTTGAGGTCTTGATAGTTTCCTTATTGCAAATTTAGATTTGGATGGAGCCAGCCAGCTGAGTTATTCTGAGAATCTGTCCTACGGTGAAGATGACCCTGTTTCTGCCCATTCACAGTCCCCATGTGAGGTGGGGAACACCAGGCACCATGGCGCAGCTCCCCAAGAGACCAGTATGCCTCGCAGCCTCGGTCTCCTGGAATTGGAGACAGCCTTTAATAACCGGGGATTTGAAGAGTCCTATGCTGCTGATAGCTCTTCCATGTGGAGTCCAGAGGCAAGTTATTTGTTTTCCATTCTTTTTTTGCTTGAGTGTTGTGTGCTCTCTGGTGAGTTCTTGCTTTCCTCTTGCTCCCCATGCCTCAAGAAAAAAAATTTCTCCAAAAAGGAAGCATTGCCTTGAAAAACAAAGACCTAAGGAGCCTTTATTTGAAATAAAATTTTTTTTCAGATGACCAAGTCACAGCCCCTATGTGTACCAATCAAAGGGGGTACACAGTAAAAGAATCATAAATAAATTTCTATCAAAATAGGGGCGAAAAAGAGTGGTGGCAGAATGGAACCAGCAACAATTACACTTCTTGTTTATATAAAAGAGTTTTTAGTTCTTCAGAGAAGACTGGTTTATTTCCTTCATGGTTTCAATTAAAACGGAGTCTATTTTTATTTGCTCCAAATCTTGAGTTACAATTACTTGAACAAAAGAATTATTTGAAAATTAGACTAAAATACAATGGCCTTCTAAATGAAATGCTGCAAGATATTATGATGAAGATCTTGCTGTGTATTTGTTGGATTTGGATTGAATTCAAGATCTAGGGGATGGCATTAATTTGTGATGGCCCTCCGGCCATTGACATTGCTTTTTGGAATAAATCTCTGATAAGAGATGCTCCTTCTAAATTTATTTCTTATTTAAAACTTACTCCAGAATATGCCTAACCGCCCAGAGGTATGATTGGAGGTGATTATTATAGACACTACCATTTATTAAGCAAGGACTATGTGCCAGGCACTGTGATAAAGATTTGCAAACATTACGTTATCTAACAGGCATTTTTGGTTATTCTTTATTAGCTAGATCTCTTTTATTATGATCTATGACATTAAGAGATGTAAAATAATAAATGTCTAATGCCTACTTTGAAATATGTAATGTATGTATATAAAATATTAATATAATTTGTAGGGCAAGAGGAAAGAGAAAAGTGAATGGATTTTGTTAGCGTCAGTCTGCCTGGGGAAATAAACTGGTAGAATCTCTTATTAGGACCTAGACTGTCATACATACCAAATGCTCCTCCAGGAGAAGAAAAAAATAATCACAGAAAATCATGTTCCAAAACCTTACTGTTAATGCACTGGGATGTGTAGAGAGAGCATAAGGAGGTGCGCACACGTGGGTGGGTGTGTGCCCATGTGTTGGTGTTACCGCTGAGGACAAGAAACAGTAACTTGGATACGTGGTTTGTGGCTTGCCGAGAGCAGCCCTGCATATAGAGATACCCAAAGCTATTAACCTTAAAAGTTTTTTTTTTTTAATTTATTTTTTTTTTAAATTCTGCTTCCCAGTTGGTTTACTGTGAAGGAGTCCTATCAAATTCCACACAAAACATTTAACATTTAAAATATTCTTTTTGGCTTTCTCACCACAAAAACAAAACACAGCTGTTTACCCGCCTCTTAATACTCTGTCCCTTGATAACTGTTCCCTTAGGCTTGGGATTGCTTTCTTCAGGTAACCTCCCATCTGCCTAACTCGTGGAGCTTTCATAGAAGATTTGGTGTTGAGAGCACTGAATGTTCCCAGACTCCAAAAATACCCAGACATCTCTGTGTGCTCCATTCAACCTCCTATCTATTTTGAGACAAAAACTGTAATTTGGTGCTCCTACGGTAGAACCTCAGATACAGCTCGGAGGCAGTTCCTGTAACTGCCTGCTTTGCAGGCTTAGCTTGCCTTTTAAGAATTGATTTATTTGCCTCTTAGCTGTATTAAGAACCCTGTCTCCCCCTGTGTATCTGGCATCGGGAACATATTGTAGGTCTGTTTACTTGGGGCCACAGAGATGCCATCAACCCTATCTTACTAAAACACAAAGGCTTTCAGTCTGATAGAAAATCTTTAAACCTACGAGGGTTTTGACAGCATGACACAGGTATTCCCATCTTAAAGAAAAATTGGGATATTAGAACTAAGAGAATAATTTATTTTGCCCCAGAAGGAAACCAGCCATGCAGTGTGACTACCTGTTAGGCTGATGGATTTTTGAACACTGCTCTTCTCTGCTGGAAAAGGCCATCGACTTTTTCCTGCAGACCCAAGGCTTGGCAGGGAAGACAATGGGAGGGTGGCTGGCGATTTTGAGCACACAGGGAGGCAGGTGTCCCACTTTTCATCTCTGCTTTCCACTGATTAACTCGTTGGCCTTGAGAAGTTAATTAAAATCTGCCAAATGGGGATAAAAATGAAGAGATTTTTACTTTGCAGGAAGGTCAGATGGATTAGTGGTATTAACAGTACCTGCATGAGGAGAGCCTGGTGATAGGTAACGTGTGTTGAAATAATTAATTGCTATGAAAATACCAGCCTTCCCAAATCTTTGTTTCAGATCAACCCAGGAAGGGGCCACACAGCCCAGCTTCCCTGTGCTACTGCTTGGCTCGGCCCTGTCCAGAGCCTGGCTATGGCCTCCAGCTCTGTCTTAGGCAGGGTTCTGAGGAGAGTCATCTCAGAGACCTCCAAAGGACTTCCACAGACCTGCAGGTGGAGCAAGCATTTGTCTGAATAGATAGCCTGATGGATAAGTGGAGAGAGACTCAGTGACCCGAATATTTTTACCTTGCATTGAAGTTGCTGACAAAACTGGGAACTATTAACTATAATTAAGAGCAGGGACTTAAAAGGATGTGAAATTCAAAGTAGTATGTCTTTCCATCTTTCATCTTACCCCCACCTCACCCCACACACTTACTACAAACATAAATAGCTATGGTGAGAGACTTGGGGAGAAGAAGGAAGACATCGTAGTTCGACATAAGGTTTGGGATTTTGAGCATTAATACTGGAAAATCCTGCATTGTCCTGGCAGGGCATATGAGGTTGGGGGCAGGGAGTGAGTTTCTAAATCTTAAGTTTCCTCCCCCATAAAATGAAGATATTAAAATTCCTCCTTCATTAGGTTAATGTGAATATTTTAAAAGATAATATTTCTTAGCTGGATTTCCCAAAAAGCAGAGCCTACTTTGTCAGGATATACAATCCCTGGGAACAAGAGTGAGGGACAAGGCGGGGAGTGAGGCAGGGAAGAAGGGAGAGCCATATGAGAATGTGTAATCAAGTTGGCCACCACTAAATGTGACCCATGGCTTGATCGTGTGGGACTGTGCGGTAAGAAGCTGTATTAAACTGCTCTCAGGACACTTGTCCAAGGGGAGACAAGTTTACTGCATGGGGCATTAACCTCACACACTTGCTGGACTTTATATACATGAATGCCAGCCAGGATTCTGTAACTTTCCAAGCCTTAACATCAACAGAGAGGCCTGTGGTGGGAGTTGAGAGTTGCATCGCATGGGCAGGAGGTGGGACCTCCTTGGGCTGTGTCAGGCCGAAGCTACTTAGAGCCTGAAAGACTGCACCTGTAGGGGGAGACCTAACAAAAGGTCTAAAACAAGAAGGTCTAAAGTGCATAACAGTGGGCTTTTGCCGTCTGTAAAGCGTTTAGTACGGTACCCGGCACAAGAAAGGGCTTAGTGGATGTTGGCTATCATTACTTCTGACCCAGCAAGCAATATAGAGATGATCAAGAGTAAGCTAAAATAGATGGGAGTTTTAACAGAAGACTGTGACTTGATTTCTGAGTTAGCCTAACTCCTTGGAGACTTGCTTCTAATATTATATCTACACTAGTCAGTTGTATTCAGAAGTCTCTATAGCAACCACTTTTATCACTTGAAACTAAGTACCTCTGAATAGAAACACTCTCACATGAATGCATGCTGAGGAAAGAATATAAGGAGCTTCCCTTATTTTGCAAGAAGCCTAAATTTTCTTGGTAGACTAATGTGAATTTTAAAAGAGAAGGCATTTATTCCATGTCTTCTGCGTGTCAAATCCTTTCATTTTCACAACAACCCTATAAATAGTTTTCATCCCCGTTTTACTCTTGAAGAAAACCAAGAGTGGAAAGGATTAGATAACTCGTCCAATGCCCTAGGGGGAGGAAGTGGTAGACCCTGGGTTCCCGAGGATGTCTCACTCCAGGGAACTGTGCACTTTTACCTCAACTCTGCGGGGAAAGTCCTGTTGATGAATGTGCATTTTTGAGGTGCTTTATTATATATTTTAAAGTAGTCTTTAAATTAGCAAAGTCTGGTGTTCAATTACATAAATGAGAATGGATTCCGATTTACAACAAGAATCAGCTCAAAGTTTAAAGTATCATGCCTTCATAGAAAAAAAATCAAATTATGTTGACATTCTTTATAGTTTGTTGGAGAGTACTTCACTGTAGTAATGCAGGTCAGCTCAGCTTTCTCTGTGAGGTCATCAGATCTGAGTGGCTATGGGTGCATTGTTGTCTAAGGCTGCTATTTTATAATGAGGGGCCCATGCTTGAAAATAGGCAGCATCAGTCCATTGATGGGAATAGATATTGATGGAGTCTGGTCTAAGCCAGGTATTTTTCCCTATCTCATAAAACCTCACCACAGCACTCCATCACGTAATCATCTGAATGCTCATTTTGCAGCTAGAGCACAGAGAGGGTGGCCTTTTTGGCCAGAACCAAAAAGCTAGCACGTGGTAGAGTTATGCTTTCAACCCAGGGGTTCTGTCTCCACATCCAGTGTTGCTGTTTGCTAAGTGGTTGCTGTAGGTGTCCTCCTAAACCCTTCGTACTCAAAGTGTATCTTGAGGCTAGCTGTGGCATCCTCAGGACCTGAGATGTTCAGAGTCTCAGGCCCCACCCCAGGCCTACGGAATCAGAAACTCTGAGTGACTCAAGTCCACGTGAACGTTTGAGAAGCTCAACTCTAAAACCTTTTCTCCCATGCAGCTTGAAAATCTACTGAAGGGTCACCTGTCATTGGGCCCCATAAGGATTCTCATCTGCAGGAAGTCCTGGCCCTTGGAACACAGGCCCAGACTCGACCATTTCTCCTGGGGACTCCAGAAAAAGTTGTTTCTTGGCAGTTGCATAGTTGACTAATTTTAGACTTAGTATCTCAGTTTCAATGATAGTGGTCACTTATACTTTTTGAGAGTCAGTGTATATAAAAACACTTTGCAAATTATAAAAGCTTTCTTCATTCATTCCAAAAACATTCATGAAGGCTCACCATATGCCAGAGACTGTACCCCTAGAGAAGTCACAGTCCAAGGGAGACATAGACCGGTATGTCTATGCCTAGACCCTTCTGATGTATAGGGATATGTGCTAGCAGTCAAAAAGTACAGGGTTCCGAAGGAGCACAGAGGGGCACCATCTCACCAAAGGGTATTTGGGCATTATCATTTGCATTCCTAATCTCTTCCTCTATCTGCAACAGGAACAGGATGGGGCCAATTTCCAGGTGCCAGCTGGGGTCTTGGAGCCCATCTCAAAATGTGGTGACCTGGATGTCATCTTCGAATATAGAGCCTCCAGCCAGAAGCTCACAGTGACCATTGTCAGAGCACAGGGCCTCCCAGATAAGGACCGAAGTGGTGTCAACTCCTGGCAAGTTCACGTAGTGCTTCTGCCCAGTAAGAATCAGAGGGGCAGGACAAGCATACAGAGAGGCCCCAACCCTGTCTTCACGGAGAAGGTCACCTTCACCAAGCTGGAGCCCAGACATGTGGCTGCCTGTGCTGCCCGCTTCCGTCTGTATGCTGCCCGCAAGATGACCCGTGAGAGAATGATGGGAGAGAAGCTATTCCATCTCAGGCACCTGCACCCAGAAGGGGAAATGAAAGTGACTCTGGTTCTGGAGCCAAGAAGTAATATCAGCGTGAGTATGTTAAATGGTGCTGCTAATGATGCGGGTATGTTCAAGGATCTGGAATTGTCAGCCCTTGATTTAGTACATTCAGCCTGTGAATTCAAACACCTTAATTTAATTTTCCATTTGGCTCTCCCCATCCTTATAAGCCATGATTTGCACTTCATGGTACAATGGTTTTTTTTTCTTCGTGTCCATCTTCCCTATAAGCTGATGGATGTATTTCCTGTCCATTTTTGGAAATGACAGCAAGTGTAGCCTGCTGATTAACTGACCTGTGGTCTGACCATCTCCCTCTTGCGCCACCCTTACTCTGCATTATGATGGATCTCAGAGATGGGACTTTGAAGGGGAGCTCCTTAACATGTGTGTCTGAGTAGGCTACCACGGCAGCCCTGATCTCCAGCCACTCCTAAGACCTTCCATGTATATGCCTGTGCTCCTCCCGTGTGCTTTATCCTCTGCATCCCCTTGTCACAGCTTGTATGTCTCCAAGATGGACAACCCACTATTGCTGGGGGTTAAATGTCATCTAGTATGAGGGACTCCTTCTAAAAACCATGTAAAAAGATCAGGTAGCTCATCTTGGGCTATTGGGCCAATCAGTCATCCATTCAGAAACGTTTACTGAGTGCCTGCCATGTCAGGTGCTGTACAGGCAGAGGGGATGGGGGAAAGAACAAAAAGGGTGATGCCTCTGCCCTCAAGAGCTTTCAGCCTAGTGGATGAGGGGCAACAAGAGAAAACCAGGGTTTGCAAGGGGAGAGAGAGAGGGATAGAGGCTGCTGTTGGTTAAGGAGGGTCAGAGAATGTGTCTTTGAGGTGGTAATAAAACACAGAACTCCACAAATCAAGGGATCAAGACTGGTGACATGTGGATGACCAAGGATTCTAGGCGGAGGAAATGGCACATGCAGGCATCGAGAAGTAGGAAGGAGCTTGTCCTGTCTAGGGGGAGGAAAGGAGCCAGAAAGCCTGGAGTGTAGTGATGGGAGATCCAGCCACTTAAATTTTTAATAGCTATCTCAAAATTAGAGTTGTCTCCCTAAATCTATTCTGCCTGCAGCCTTCCCATCTTGGCTAAAGGCAATTTCATCCTTTTAGTTGTTCAGGTCAACCTGAAATCCTCTGGGCTCTTCAAACTATAACCAGAACCTAACTCTGCTGGATTATTGAAATGGCCTTCCAGTGGTCTTCTTGCTTTTGCCTTTGCCCCTTACAGACTATTCCCAACCCAGGGACCCAAATGAACCTTTTAGGGGCACTTGGGTGGCTCAGTCCATTAAGTGTCCAACTCTGGATTTTGATTCAGGTCATGATCTCGATCCTGGGATGGAGCCCCACATCTGGCCCCGAGCTCAGTGCGGAGTCTGCATAGGATTCTCTCTCTCCCTCTGCCCCTCCCCCCACTCGTGCTCTCTACCTCTCTCTAAAGTAAATAAAATCTAAAAAAAAAAAAACCCAAAAAACCATAAGCCAGATCATTTCTCACTTCTGCTTAAATCTCTCTTTTTTCTTAAGCTCTGAGTAAAGTATATGTGAAATCATGGAAAATAGAAGTCAGAGGAGGTCAGAAGGAATCCTGCACTATAAGGCATAGGAGTGGGTATGATCTCACCCCTATTTCTCTGTGCCAGGTCCTGTCCTAGAGACACAGAGTTGAGTGGGGAAGATGAGCCAGTGTGAAAGAACTTTGAAGGTAAAAATTCATCAGTTATCTGTTAATCATGATTATATGCCAGGCATTGGGCTATGCACTAGACTGAGTAATTTACAAGGATTCAAATGTGATGGGAGAGGCAAGCTCTGTTGTGATAGGTGCCTTGGTAGATGCTTCTGTAGAAGCACAGGGGAGGGGTGATCCTTACCCAAACTAAGCAAATATGTCACTACTGGATTGTCATCATCTAGACAGCAGGGCCTATGTGGCAACTATCAAAACCAGCTCTCTCTATAGTTTTCATATTGTGTTCTTGAAAGCCCAGGGCTCTGCCATGGCTTGGTCAACAAGATTTTTTCCTACAGATGTGAAGAATATTTAATTCCTTTTAATGTGTTTATTTTGTGGGTTTTTTAAAAAAAGATTTTATTTAATTATTTGTCAGAGAGAGAGAGTACAAGCAGGGGGAGTGGGAGAGGGAGAAGCAGGCTCCCCGCTGAGCAAGGAGCCTGACCGGGGCTCAATCCCAGGACTCTGGGATCATGACCTGAGCCACTGAGGCGTCCCTTTGTGGGGTTTTTGATAACAAGTTTAGGAAATGACTTCAGATGTTGAGAAGAAAGTTTGAGCTAAGTCTGATGCACTTGTTTCTGGTGGAGGAGGTGGTGGTTCTTGGAGGCTGGCTGTCTTGCCCCCCCCCCCAGGGCCAGTGCCCACTATGCTTCTTGAGGTGAGAGTCAGCATCCTGGCTTACTTTGCTCTCCTCCTCCCAATGTGTCTGGTGTAGAAAGGTGGGCACTTTGGAGAAGCAGGTGTGTGAATAAACAGGACAGAAAGCATCGTCTCTCTTCTAGGCTCACCTGGTGCGTGCAAAGTCTCTGAGATCCACAGTCCAATCATGGACTATTTTACCAAACAGTTATAAAAGTGCTCATTTTCAATGTAATTCATTTCCTCAGTGGGGGGGCAGTAATAGCATCTGGTGTGTTCCTGACACCCCTAGGAAGCAGAACTAGGGGCCAAATGTTCTATGGGGTGGTAGATGGTCATGGTCATTTCTTTTCTAGTGAAGACAAAGTGCCTCCTGTGTTGCTACATTCATCAAGAAGCTGCAGCGAACAGAAACAAAACTCATGCCTAGAGTGGATGGGTTCCATAGAAACATCCAAGCACAAATGACAAAGGAGGGAATTTGGGTCTATATTAAATGTATTATTAGCTCTTAGTGTATCTGAGAGCTTTTGATTTACACTAGTAATAATATCTTTGTCCATTTTGTCTTTAGAGAGGAAATGTTGAATGGAGACAGCTCTCGAAGCAAATATGTCAGCGAATAACGCGGGGCGTCTCATCCATGACTGCACTCCCCAGGCCCATTATCATTCACACCAAGTGCGCTGTTAGTAATCTTTGGCAGCAGTTGAGATTGGGCCACGGTTTCACCAAACATAATATCGGCTTTCTGTAAGAGCGTAGTGCAGCGTGGACCAATGGGTTCTTTGTTGTTCTTCCCCTCCAGAGTGGAGAGTCTCCGCTCAGCCCATCTGCAGTTTCTCACAGTGATAGCGCTTCATCCACACAGTCGCTGTCTCATGGAGGAGCGCCAGAGCTGTTGGTGGGGCTGTCCTACAACGCCACAACGGGGCGATTATCCGTGGAAGTGATCAAAGGCAGCCATTTCCGAAACCTTGCTGTTAATAGAGCGCCTGGTAAGTGCATGTCTGGACGCCCAGCTCTGGGCCTTCCAGGAGCAAGCAGAAGGCTGTGTTTGCTTTGGTCTTAATTCTTTAACTTTTATAAAGAAGTGATTTCAGAATGACTTAGACATGTTTTTACAAAGTGATACCTCTTAATATTTTAAATGCCTTTCTATCTAATTAGATTGAAGACTTCTTCGATATCTGGATATATCTTGATGCAAAATAGACTGGCCCCTACATGTATATGGTTAAAGGGAAAAGAATGATGTCTCTTCAGCAACATAATGTGTATGGGCAATTAAAATCTGCTAATAGGTTCCAGGCCTGCAAATACCTTTAAAGAGGCCGAGCATAGGCTTTGGAGTGAGGCAGATCTGGGGGCAAAGTCCAGCTCTACCCACTTACCCATTAGCTTCGCTCTGATCCAGTACAATTTAACTCTCTATTCTGAATTTCAGTAGGTTCATCTGGAACAAAGTGATATTAATAATACTTTTTTTTTTTTTTTTTTTTTTTTTTTTTTTTATTTGACAGAAAGAGACACAGCGAGAGAGGGAACACAAGCAGGGGGAGTGGGAGAGGGAGAAGCAGGCTTCCCGTGGAGCAGGGAGCCTGATATGGGGCTTGATCCTAGGGCCCTGGGATCATGACCTGAGCCGAAGCAGACGCTTAATGACTGAGCCACCCAGGTGCCCCAATAACACTTTGCTTATGGGTTTTTGGTGGTGGGGGGGATTAAATAAAATGATTTCTATAAAGCATTTAGCCTAGTGCCTAACACACAGTGTGCATACAAGAAATCTTAGTGGTTATGGTGCCGACAGAGGAGGAGGTGGAAGAGGATCTGGGGCAATATAAGCCTGACTTACCAGGAGAGCTACCACTTTGGAGATCACCACTAGAAAGAGGGGCCCAAGACACTCCTGTAGCTGCAGTCCCGGGCTCAGAAAGCTGGAATAAAAATGGTGCTGCTGGAAACAGCCACAACTGCCTATGAGGACACAAGAAGTTAGAGACTGAGCTTTGGAATAATGCTGCTAAATATTAGCTCGGTTTTAATGACTGTCAGCAAAAATAGCTTAAAAGGGGACAGGAAGATGGTTTCTGCCTCACTTCTGCCTTCTGGATCTCATGCAAGTTCATACAACCAGAGGAACCTAATTTGTATCTAGAATTCTAGCTGCAAGAGAGTCTGAAAAATGTTGTTGCATTTCCAGCCTTTCAAATCCAGAAGGTAAACTAGAAAGGGTAGTGTGGAGGGCAAGTGAGCCTGTCCATCCCAGGGACCAGAGTCTCACTGAAATAAGGATGAAGTTGATAACAACGTGGTAGGCTAAAGGAGTCAATAGGCTCTTGCCTCACATGTCAGCATCAGGCGAGGAGCCAGCCAAGCTGGTAGAAAAGTGTCAGCTTCTATAGCCAAATCCAGGCTCTCACTCTTCTTAGTCTTTATCTGTGCTGCAGCCCACAAAGTCTTTGTTCAGTGTATCTTGTTAGTCAGTCTATTAACACCATTAGAGCAACGTAATAAGGGAAACCCAGCACACTGGCTAACAAGAGAGTGGGTACATAAGCCATGTTCTGTGTTGATGCTCATGGCCACGTGAGAGCTGTTTAACATACATCATAGGTGCTGATTATTAATCACACAGCTAGTCTCTTTGCTAGATACAGCATTGTTTTTTTAAAATAGCTCTGGATTTATTAAAGATCTGGATTTACTGCTCTTCTTTTAGAGCTTTTTCCAGTTTTCCCCTATCCTCCTGGAATTTGGTGAGATCTGGATAACTACTTGGGAGGAACATGGTGGAGCTGCAGAGAATGGTGGGGAGGTGAATCACACAGTCATGACCTGTTCCAATCCACTCTGGGAAACTTTAATCTGTGTGCTGGGTGGTAATATGGACGCTAAGAAAGCATCAGCTGGAGGCTAACAAACTAAGGTGTGAATTCAGGCTCTGCCACTTACTAGCTGGAAGTTATTAAACTTTCCTGAATTTCAGTTTCCTCATCTGTAAAATGGAATTGTAATCATATATACTTTCTAGGTAGAAATACTACATAGAAGGCTGTGATGTTGAGGATGGTACTATTGTATCATTATACATTTCTATATAAGAGAAAACATGCCAAAGAGGAAATTCTTGTAACAAATATTTAAAACTGAACAGAAAAAAAAGGCAAGTCCTAATTTAGAAATTGACTTTATTCCAGAAGTTTAAGTCAGTTTGGCATTTGCTACATGATTTTTTGTAGACATAATGTTGCAATTTAATTTAAACCCTAACTGACATGCTGTATCTTTGCAACCAAAGTAATAGAAAACAATGTTGCTGTGATGCTGTTCATTAAAACAGAAACCCAGTAGTGAAGACAAAAGTTTTTTGTTTATGTAGAATTCCAGCACTTGAGGAAAAGCCAGTTTAATTAAGAGGGGTTGAGAAAGTAGAAGGTGCCTTTGTGGAGATTGTAAAAGGGATCTCTTGGTACTTTCGAGGGCTTTAGATGTTGATGGCGTTGGTTCTTCATTATGTCTCACTTTATTATGCCACCAGCACTACTTTGGCAGTCATCAGGCAAGCTGAGGGTACATTTTTAGTTCCCATATGGAAGAAAATAAGAGACAGAACAGGAGTTTTATGAGATAACTGAGCAGAGTTGGAAGAAAGTGGGGAGGAGAGAGGATGCAAGCTAGGGGATGAGTGGGCCTGGGGCTGATGGGTGGCTGAGGGAGACGGCCAAGTGCACTGTCCCCATGAGGTGGATGGAGGGTAGGAAGTACCACCAGAGCATCATGGGTCAGAGTCTACCATGAGGAGCTGCCCGCAAGGGGAGAGGCATGTGTGGGAACACTCGTGTGAGGGTCCTAAAACCCTGCGCATAAGACTGGGCTCAGGGACAGTTCCCTCTTCTGTAAACAGGGGACACCAATCCTGCTTTACAGAGTAGCTATGATAATTGAAGAATGGTCCTTAGAGAAGCCTGAGAGAGAATAGGTTGAGCCTGAATATTGGGAAATTTTCTTCTTTCGAATATCAAAGTTTCTAAATATTGCTAGAAACTGGGAGAAAGGCTGAGATTTAGAAGGGAGAATCTTTTGCCTCAAAATGTATCATGAAACAGAGGAGAACTTTGAACTCGCCAGCTTGATCCAGTCGGATGACTGTTCGGACATTTTAAACTTTTCTTTCTAAGCAAGATAGTGGAAAGGCGGACAGATAGTAGACGAAATTCCTCTTCTCTATTAGGGCCTTAGAAGAAATAAACCACTGAAATGTAAGCCTCCCTTCTCCAACTTCCAAGGTAAATACCTGGGGGAGAGGGCTCAGTGAGAGGCAGGTTTTGCTTTGATGGGCAGAAGCTGGTGAGGGCATTCTTAGATATGAGTCTCCATGACATGCACTAGAAAGGCTAAAAGTAAGGCTGATTCCATCAAGTGTTGGCGAGGATGTGGAGAATACATTGTTGGTGGGAATGGAACAACCACTTGGGAAAAGGCCTGGCAGTTTCTTATACAACTAAACTTGCTCTGAAAATCCAACAGTTCTATTTTTAGGCATTTATCCACATGTTAAAAAGAAGAAGAAGAAGAAGAAAAGACCTGCACAAGAATGTTCAGAACAGATTTATTCATAATGGCAAAACTGCAAAGAGCCCTCATGTCCACATGAATGAATAAACAAAGATATATTTATATAGTGGAATACTATTCAACAACTAGAAAGGAAATTAACGTGGGATCTCAAAAACATACTGAGTACCTGTTACATGACTCCATTCATAGGAAGTTCTCGAATAAGCAAAACTCATCTATAGTGAGAATAAGCAGAAGAGTGGTTGCCTCAGGATTGGTATCAGTGTCGAGATGAACTGGGCATGGACATGAAAGAATATTCTGAGGTGATGGGCATGTTCTATATTTCGATGGGAGTATGAGTTAAATGGATGTTTGCATTTGTCAAAACTTACCAAATGGTACTAGGCTTTGTGTATTTCACTGTGTGTAAATTTTACCTTAAAGTAGAAAAGAACCATAAAATATTGAGCTCTGGTTATTTAAATGTATGCAGAAATGTTTAGGGGTGAAGAATAATGATGAATACAGCTAAGAGGGATTGATGGGTAGATAGATATGCAGGTATATGAGAAAGAAAATGGTCTGAGCTTGGGCTACTACAACAAAAATGCCATACGCTAAGTGGCTTCACAGAAATTTATTTCTCACAGTTCTGGAGGCTGGGAAGTTCAAGATCGAAGTCCAGCTGATTCGGTTCCTCTTCCTGCTTTGCAGACAGATACCTTCTTGCTGTATCCTCACATGGCAGAGAGAGGAATCATCTCTCTCTTGTCTTTTCTTATAAGGGCACTAATCTCATTCATGAGGGATCCACCCTCATGACCTAATCACCTCCTAAAGGTCACACATCCAAATACCATCACGTTGGGGATTAAGGCTTCAACATATAACTTTGGGGAGAATACACACATTCAGTCCATAACACAAAGCAAAATATAACAAATGAAGAATCTAGGAAGTAAGTATATGGGTATCCACTGTACAATTATTTCAAATTTTCAGTGTATTTGAAGATTCTATTTATACGATATTAGGCAGAAAAAGCTAGTCTGGTCTAGAATAGTTCAGCTGGATCAGGTGGGTAAAAATAAAACATGAACCTTAGCTTCTGTGGTTAGAATTACATTGTTTTTGATTATGTTGACATCTCAAGGTCCAACCTTATTCCCCTGACGCAACCTTGGACAGGATAGAGTACCAAGCCACTGAACCTGAGTGCATCTTCTGTAGCACTCTCTCTAAACCACGCCCATCCCAAGAGAAAGTATGTGATTAGGCACTTCCTGATTTCTAACTTAAACCTTTTCTCTGTTCATCCAATGGATGGATGGATGGGTGGATGGACAGATAGATGTAGATGTAGATACAGATAGATAGACTTGTATCTAGATTTACATCTGTCTACATCTTTTTCTTCTTTATTTTTGGAAAA